TAAGTCCCCCTTTAAAAAAAAGGAAGGAAATTAGCATTAACTAAAAAGAGCGTATTTAGCACCACTGCACAAGCTGGAGAAAAAAACCCTAGGAAATCCTGGCTAAAGATAATGCTGCCTCCTCCTGTCACTGTTGGGCTTTCCACAGTCATTGCGATGAGAGGAGAAAGGTCCATTTTTCACTCTTTCATTTGCAGCACCACTTTGAAGTTACCTACAAATCAGAGTTGCTATTTGATGATCATCTCTCCCTATGCCATCCTACGCTTTTTTGTAATAGGGCTGTTAAAAAACATGTGTTTTCACTTTTTTTTTTATTAAAAAAGGATAACTCGTAACTGAGCAGAGACAAAGGCTCTGTTGATACAACAACATGTGGATTAAATCTGAAAGGAGAAAGAAAGCTGTTCTATTAAACTGACAATCCTGCACAGAGGGCTTATATCTAAATTGGTGTAATAAATCAATAGGAAAGATTTCTCTTTGGCTGAAACAACTATTTATTTAGGCACGGAACAAGAGCATTTTAAAATTGCTCTGGACACTGTACACAAAAGGGTTTCTTCAGTTTTGTTCTTTTTTCTTTTGTGTTTTAAGTATATCCCCAAAGTTTTGCATTTGCTTTACTTAAAAATATTTATTTTTTGGCACTTAAACCTATGACAAGTCAGCCAGCCAGCACCACTGGGCTAAACTGCTCCTACTGAAAAAAAGAAAAAGGGGGGGAAGGGGGGAGAAAGGGATGAGGAGGGGAGAAAGGGGAGGCTTGCTCCGTTTACATCATTACATTAGGCAGAAGACTGGCCTGAATTTATACTTTCCCCCATTATGCTCCTCTCCTGTGTTTTTATAAACACAAGTTCTACTTCCCTTAAATTCTATTAGAAGTGGCTTTTTCACTCTTATTTAAGCAGGAAACACTCTCCAGTTGTTGCTACCTATCCATATCAGACAGCAGTTTGCCCCACAATGTCTTCTGACACCAACACAATAACCTGCCATATCAGAATGTCAATCTGGAGGTAGGCTAACAGCAGGGAGGTGCTCAAGAAACTACAGTCACAACGCCATCCTCAAAATACTGCCCAGAAACATGCATTTCGTCTCCAGATCCCAAAAAGACAAGCCGCTGCTGATGCACAGCGAAAAATGAGAACTTGACAGAACATTTTAAGTATAACACTGATTGTAACTACAGATGGGACCAAGAACTGCAACCATCTTTTTTAATAAAAATCAGATGGTACCTGGAGCTGATTTCAGAGCTAATGCAAAGATGACACCAGCTTCTAGTAATTACATTTAATACATCATGCCATGAAGATGGCATTGGCTAGCCCATGCAAACATGTCACCACACCACTCCAGCTAGTCTTCAAAGAACGACAAAGACCAAAACATAAATCATCATGAAGATAAACTTTCAGTTCCACAGAAATGTTCTGTGAGAAAATATTTGTAGGAGATGCTACTCAACACTGGAAGAAAGTATTTCATACAAGCATGCAGGAGCTCCTCTTCAGCACGTTCTGTAGATGTCACTGGCTGCTATGTTACTATTACTTTTTAGAAGACCCAAACTGTATGTGTGGTAAAACACATGAGAGGGCATCTACAATGGGACAGAGTATAACACTGAGGGGGCAAAGATTTTGTCTGAAGCCTCTGTCATTCAAAATGTTATTCCTAATATCATTTACAGAAATCACAAAAGCTGAGCTCTTCAAAACCATTAAAAATACAATCCCCAGCCCCACAGATGAAAATGCTTTAGGCTGGGTAACTTGGTTTTTTCTACCAGGGAAGTCCTTATTTATTCCATTTCACCTTAAATTTCATTTGCCAGTCAGGCAAATAAAAGTTTCCTCAGAAACTACAGCTGATGCAGTCACTTGGATGCCATCCCTGATAGCCTGACCATCCAGCCTGCCTTGCCTGCTGCCCTATTCCCAACTCACCGAGACAATCCAGGGGGCCACACAACAGCCCCAGGGTCAGGTCTGGGCTGCTCACTCTCCCTGACCCACTGCCTTTGCCCCAGAGAAGCTGCTATTGCCACCCTCCCATGAGAGGTGGTGGGAGATGGGAAGTATGCAAGTTGTTGTGCCTGCATTTAGCCCAACAGCTGTTTTGCAAGGCCACCTAGCCAAAACCTTACTGTAAGAGCTGCTCACCTTGTTCCAATCAACTGCCTTACAGTCTGCAGGAGTGTCTCCACAGTGCTTCTTTCCATACATCTGCAGCCACTCACACGGTACCATGTCTCAGCTCAGCTTCTGCTGCCTCCTCACATACCCTCTAGTTAGGACAGACACAAAGGGCTCCTGAGAAGGAACATCTCTGCTTTCCTTCCTTACTCCAGGCAACCACTCTTTGCCAAAAATCTAACAAGGAGCTATACTAGTGGGAAAGAAAGGGAAGGTGCAAGAGGAGATTAAGAACTAGGAGAGGAAACAGATGGCCTGACAATTACTTTTTCTTATTAGTCTGCTTTAATTTTGGAGAAGCGGAGTCTCACGGCCATTTGAGTTCATGGAACCACTACATAGTTCTTTAGGATACCAAGCAAAGTACTATCTTCTGGCTATAGCACAGCATCTGCTTTGATAAGCTCTCAGGTTGTCAGTGCCTACCATCTTTAAGGCATAGACGATACAGCTGTCACCTCTGAGCAAAGCTAAACCCCTGGTAAGAAAGACGTGCCAGTCCCAGCTGGAAGGAACACTTCCCAGTAAGGAGATGGTCAGTCAGCCAGACGACTGGTTTCTGTTCATAGCTGTTACTGCCCTATTCTGTGACCTTATTCAAATCACATCCCCACGCAACGCCTCTTCGCTCATCTTTGAGAGGCGCACGAGCACCACCGATGAGTGGCTATGTAGAACCCAGCTACTAGCAGTAATGCTAACGCAGAACTGGGAATTTAGAGGCTAAGTAAAGCAATATATAAAAGCCGAGGTTTATGCTATGTAGGCATGGTTCCAGCATAGGAAACGTGCACTTTTTGCCAAGCCTATCCAATGTGGGTATGATTCAGTGCTGATTGCTCAGAAAAACGTTTCAAGTTACACCGGTTTGGTATGCTTTTTTAAAAGCAAAACAAGGTATGTTTTGAACAAAGTTATGATTATGTTTATGTTTACAGACAATCTGACTCCTGCATATAAAGAATGCTTCTCCTTGGACAAAAAACATCAAGAAAAGTCAAAAGTAATGCAAATGATCTGGCTCTATAATCTTGCCAGAACAGAAGAAACACCAAGGCAGTTAAGCAATAATCATGGTCTTAAATTTGACTTCCTTGACTCCTGCTTTGTTCAACATTTTTAAAAAATTATAAAACACTTCAGATTTCAAAGCACATTTATATACATTGATTGATTCTCCCAAAGTAAAAATCATCATCCTCTTTATTACAGAAGGAAAGTGAAAGAAGACAATAAGCTATTCGTCAAAGGCACAGTAGGAACTGATGTAAGGGCTGGTATTAAAACCCAAGAGTTTCTGAAGCAACTTATTGTTTCTAAAGGATTTATTTTTTTTAAGATGATACCAACAATACAAAAAAAGTTCTAAAATGGACATACATTTAGGATCAAGGCCGTTTATGGGGTAAAGGCCACGAGAAAAGCAAGTTATTTAAATTAATTAATCCACAGTTGGAAAACTATAGTGGATTATCTAATAGATCATTGCTATGTTCCATATACAGCACAAGCACTAAATCAGCCCGCAACGTAGTCAGTCTTGCCTTGCATCGTAAGATAGAGAAGTATATAGGGTAATCCATCTTTCTACTCTGGGGCAGCAAATTACATTTGCATCAGGACTTTTCTCTTTAGAGTATGTGGTGAATGCTGTCTGACATGTTATTCAGGAGTGCCCTCTAACGAAGCTGCAGCTACATTTCAGAACACATACAAGGGAGACTATAAAAACCCAAAATGAGACTTTCCAGAAATGTCTCATTAAAGAGCAAGCTTTGTTTCCATTTGGACAAAAGGGGAAAACAGATGATGTACACTAACTGGTGACTGCTCCTGCACAGACATTTTATATTTCCTTGTATTATGCAAGCCCTCATCAGTAAATATCTCAGTAGGCAGTAGTACTAGAGAGAAAGATCACAGTTCTCCCATTCTGAGAGAAGAAAGGATACTGAATCAGATCGGGTCCCAGGGCAGTTAACCCAGTACAACTTTTCAAGATAAACCGAGTTCTACACAATCTACTTTATCTGTAAGGAACTGCTGGGTAACTTTTCAACATAGGATGTAGTTAAATCAATCTTTACAAAAATAAGGGAGTATCATGAATGAAGTTCACGAATCAAAATGGAATCCTCATAAATCTATTCCCTAATACACTGCTGTACCATAAAATATTGCTTATTTGAAAGGATGTCTTCATCTAAGAGTGGTCACACAAACTACAGGGACGAAACAGTATTTGCTACAAGTTTGTACCACTGGTACTTGGTTTATTGTCAAGTTCCCTTTCACCTACCTACATAAACGAATAAAACATCCTGCAAACAAAAGATGTATTACTTTCAGATACAAACTCCACACAGAAAAGCTGATACTGATCCTCAGAACAGAAATTAATTTTAATAACCTCGATGTCAAATTGCCAGAATAGGACTGTTCCACTTAAAGATCTACCTATAAATATGCAATGAGGGCACAGCTTCTCAGTGTGGGATCAGAACAGTCATAGCAGCCTATGCAATCGGTGCGCTCTCCCTCCCACCCCATCCCGCACCAAGGCACCCCACTCCGTTGTCCCCCAAACACCCAAGCTACGAGCATAAGGTGAAAGAGGTTGACAAAGTAATCGAAGTGGAAAATGATCCTTTTCTAAGCTCAGACAAGAGAAAGACCAGAAAGGGGCAGGAACTCCTTAAGCTGTACTGCCCCCACCCTGCCAAAGGTGGAGTTTGTCCCCGTACTGTCAAATGCCTCTGAACAGACTCGGGTCCAGAGACACAGCAAACTCACCCCTGAAGGAGGAGGGTGAAGGTGTTATCTGCCGAGTGATTTCGGGGGAATTCCGCTGCCACCAGAGAGCTGCAAGGAAGCAAACAGGCCTGTTAACATGCCGAGCTTTTTGTACGCTTACCAACGCACCACCTACGCTCCACTGAAGCAATCCTAACTTAAGCACCTTGTCAAGCACTGTCTTGGAAAGACGGAGATTGGCAGGCATCAAATGTTTTCTTGAACCGAAGCCTTACATACCTGCCAACATTTACATCTTTACTGTAATGTTAAGATCATGTGGCTAAGAGTCACAAAAGACTAACAAGAACACCATACCGATGTTATAAAACATTCAGAGAACCATCGTCCTAATCCATGCAGGTTATCCACTGTAACAAACAGAACATCATCAGGAAACCTCCACTCCCATCCATCCGAATGATCCAGTGGCAACCACTGCTTACAGAACAAAAAACAAACAATAACGCTTTCAACTACATGGCTACTAAAAACCTGCTTCGCACACTCTGAAACAGCAGCTGTTTATCCTGTAAAGCAAAATTGCACTCCCCTTCTCAAAAAGCCAAACCCATTCCCCTTTAGTTTGTAACGGTGGGAGATTTTAGTCCCCAGGAAGTATTTTCCAAAAATTTACAGGCGACTGTATAATCTAAGAAAACCCACGTGGAGCAGTTTTATACAGCAAGCATTTCCCAAGCAGTGCAAAGTTCCTCCTGTGCTCGCTCTCACTTTTTCAAACATTCCTCACAGCACTGCTGTGTTCCAGGCAACTTTTTTCCTGACATAACAGCTTATTCCTTGAGGAGGTTCAGGCAGAGTTTGACATTAAAAAGATCAGCAGTGGATAGACAGACAGTGTCCTAGATGTTTTGAAAAAGAGACTTTTCTTTCATGAACATGTAACCCAAAAAAGGATCAATGAATTCGCGTGAAAATCAAAAATGATCATAAAGTGCCTTTTGAACAGCAGAGCAGAAAGTTTCAGCACAGAACAAAAAATGTGGAAAAATGTAAGAGCAAAAAAACCTCTGAAATTAGTAACTGAACCACACAATTACATGCATCGCTATAAGGGTAACCCCTTGTATTGTAAAGCATTCTGCTTTTTGAAGGCAAGATGAGCAACAGCCAAGAATAAATCGCATCGTATGGGTATAGCTAGCCATAAAATAGGATAAAACAGCATTATTTTAATTAGAAAGAAAATGACAGTAGCCACACATTTAAACTTAACGTAAAGTGTGACCGTGTTCAGGCAGAGCTGGAGATGTAATAGAGAGGAATTTATTTAAATGCATGAAATGCATTTGGAGCTAGAGGCTCTTCTGCTCTAGCTTGGTAACATATAACAAAAACCACTGTAATGCTAAGCTTAGCAACATGCACTTAGTAAAACGCGCAGGAGTCAGACCCCTCCTATACTGATACAAATCTGCAGCTATGCTTTCGCCACAGACTCAGTAATGGTTAACACTGAAGCACTGAGCAGAGAATCTGGCTTCTGTACTACGGCATAAAAAAGAGACTCTGACACTATTTTTTATTTTGGTAGCTACCACCACTAGCGGTGGCAGGTAAGGCCCGGAGGAACAGCAGCTCCCAGCTCCGTATGAGGACACCAACGTTAACCACGCCTTATATATTAGTTTCAAAATTGGTTCTAGTGCTGTTGCTGTTTAAATGCTTATACAACATAAATTAGAACTTTATTTCCTTTGCTTAATTCTTCCGTTATTTATATCTACTTTTTCTTCATTAGCAATTTCCTTCTCCTTCCAAATTCACAGTGTTGCAACTTCAAGTGCAGGTAACACACAACTTTGTGCCACTGGAATACGTTAGTCAGGGAAGGAACAGGACTCTCATGTTCTATAGGTGATCGGACAAAAGTTGAAGGATTTTTAGCTGCTTCTGGTCTGATCAGATTCCAAAACACTTAACCTTTCTTTAGCTTCATCGGCCCACCTATTTCTTGCAGAAGACACTGCAAAGAGAATTATTCTATAAGAATTAGTAACACATTAATTTTTTTTTTCTTATAGAAGAAATTTCTTTAACAATAGCAATTGCCTCAACCCTCAAACAGGTCTATTTCTACTTAGAGCCAATACAAAGGACTATGCCCAAAGCATCATCCCAAGCAAGTGGCAAAGTTGAGACAAAATAAATTATTAATTATGTAAGCAGGGTTTTCTTGCCCAATTTTTATCTGTAGACCATAAAGCATTATCTGCCTCAAATCATCCAGCAGGCAGTTAACACAGCTGGGAAAGGACATCCTACTCCTGATCTCAAACAGCGGGACAAGACTCTCACCTTCCAGGCCCAAGTTAATGCCATTTGGTCATGTTGCCACACCAAACCTTCACGTAGATTCACAAAAGAAACAAGACTTTTATTCTCTGGTAAAACAGCTTTCCAGATTTCTCTTCTGATAGAAATCTAACTGGAGTTTCTCTTCAGCCCTCCCTTATCCCACACATACACGCTCCCCTCTTTCATTTTTCCCCGCAAGAACTTTTCAGACTTTTATCACTGACATCTACCATAGTTTTTCCTACACTGTATTAGTTTATTACACATTAATTCAATTAAAAGGTGAAAATGTGAAACAGCAAGATGCTCAGCACTTAGTGTATCTCCTATTTCTGTTAATGTAATTCTATTCCTCTGACACACTACTCAGTTCCTCTGTGGCCATCCCCTCCTCCAGTGCACGTGATTATGAAGGGGAGCTCTCGAGGAGGCTCTCATAGCATCCAGCATCCTCAGAGAGTTACAAACAAACAAACAAACAATTATTTTAAAGGCACTGGCATACTATACAAGCTCAGTAATTAGCTTTTGAATCAAATTATTAAAACTTGGTTCAGGAGAACACTCTTAATTCCAATAGAATGTCTCTGTCAAACTGTTTCTTATTTAGCCCAGAGGTGGCCCGTGCCACCACCCCCATCCCCTCTCCTCTCAGGCTACATCACTTCACACATCAGCAACTTATTTAATGCAAGTTTGGGTAAAATTATTTATTCACAGGAGCAACTGCTTTGGTTGTCAGAGTATACATGCACAGACCCGCTCCTCTTACCGTGAACCGACGCACCTACCTCTGCATTAAGACCCGAGCTGTAACCTAACAGAGCTGCCTTGCAGAGTCGAACAGAGAACTCCCAACACTGCGTGTGTTTACAGAGACCACCCACTGCTGCCTGTCACCTCTCTCCAGGCTGCCTTTGGAGAACAACAGAAATTACACTCGTTTCAGCTTTGCCAATTCCTGTTTGCCATGGCTTACATTAAGGACCAACACGACTTTGTGTCACTGGAAAAGGAACAATTTGAAATGTTGCAGTTCAGTCGTTCTGAACTTCTGTGCGTGCTCTGTGCACCGCATACTCATCTGGCGCAGTTTCATATGAGCAGCATCTCCGACTTCCCCAACAAGGAGAGCCGAGAAAAGCTTGCTGCAACTGCTAAACTGTAAGCACCAACAAAACTTTGTGCAGGTGAGCGTTATGATTTCCAATAGACAGCATTATTGCCTTAAAAACTCCAAACAGAGGTTTTCTGGTGGATCATTTACATTCCAAAATATGCATTTTGCTGTTTCAACTCCACATGCTAAAGTTTGATTATTCCTGCTCTATTGCTTGCGCATACAGTGAGAAAAAACACAGAACCAGAAGTCATGGCTATTAGTGCTGCTTGAGCCAAAAAGCTGACACACAGCCATGGGCAGGTGCCTGTTTCCGTAGAAAACCAGGGAGGTGGCAAGCCCTCAGAGCACACCAAACTGCACAGTGCTACGTAAGAGGCAGAGTTTCACTGTTCACGGAAGCATGGGGAGATTTACTTATTTATTTCAATTTAAAAGTCATAATTTCAGAGTGAGTCAACAGATCCTCTAGTTGACCTTATCATCCAAGACCCTTTTATAAAACCTACTACCTCGAAAGCACTCTCGTCCTATTGAAACAATACATTGAGACAAATAGATCCCAAAATCCCTTTACAAGAACCTGATGAGATAAAAACAGTGCCAGCAGAAAGTCCCAGCCTGAAAACTACGCTCTTGCAGAGGGTGAAAAACTCATATGATGCCATATAGTCTGATAACATAAGTCTGATGCCGTAAGTCTGATAACAAATCAGACTTTGCTGGAAATCCCTTCCTGACCTCAGACCTGGATCAGACTGCAAACATACGGGGAAGACACAGCAAACGAGGGAGGGGATTCTCTGAACTAGTATAGCACACCCGTTTGCCCAACTCAGTGTCTGCTCTCTGTGGCCGAACTCTGATGATTTAAAGAACAGTGGAGGGGGAAACACACTACTTTAACCTAACTTTCCTCTGTAAGAACAGCATGCGGAATTCCCCCTTGAAGCAGAGGTTCATCCAAAAGCCTAAGATTGCTTGAACCTATCTTAACTTAGAACTACAGCCCTTTAAGCAACGTAAAAAAACCCCAAAACACTGCTACTTCTGCAGCCAAGCAGACTAAGAAGTAGAGAGTCCCAGAAGGTGACTCGCTGATAATCTCACTGCTTTCCCCCAAACCACATGAGCATCCTTGCACCAGCAAGTTGCCCAAGATTTCAGGTTTAAGCCCAGCTTCAAAACTGTTATCGTTTCAGCTTAAGACCTCCAAATAATGGCGAGCCTTTAACCTCTCCCGTAAACTATTCCTATAATTAACCTCCATCACTGCTAGGAAATTGTGTCAAATTTAAAAGAATTTGTGTAGCTTTGACTTTCAGTTACCGGATTTCATTATGTCTTTGTTGGAAAGACTGAAAATACTCAGCTATCAGATAACTTTCCCATAGGCATGGATTTCCACAGAGTGGCTGAGTCACTTAACCCTCTTCTCTTGGATGTGCCTGAATAAACTGAGTTCATTAAGTCCATCACATGGTTTGTTTTCCAGAACCAGAGCATTTTTGTGGCCTCCTCTGAACTCCCCAGTATTTTCATATCTTACTTGAGAGCTACTGTAACTGGAGATGATGTTCTAGCAGCCCGTTCTAATACCACCATGTGCACACACACGATCGCTCCAATTTGATTCTCTTCAAAAAAAGAAAAAAAAAACCCAGCAATCAAATCAACTCTTCCCACAACAGCAAAGTTCAAATTGCATCACTGATGCAACTAAATCCCGCAAGTCACTCTCTGCCACCTCTGTGTTTATGGTAGGAAGCTACCATGGTTTCTAGACTTTACACAGTCTTTTTCATTATATTAAAATCCTCCTCCCACATGGAACCATCTAACCAGGAAGGTCAGACTATAGCAGTAACGTCTTGTCACTGATCATCTCGCCTGTCCGTCATCAGTAAACTTTAACAGCAAAGGTTATTAACCTTTTTTTGGATAATGTAAGTCAGTATTAGTACTTGAACAAAGAATTGGCAAGTGGAGGAGCTGACTGGCAACAGCCCACTTGTTTATGTCTTCCAATTAACGATCAAGATGCACGATTTGTTGCTGAGCTCGTTCTTAAATTTTGCCTTGCTGCAACACCTCGTTGCACCACCACCACCTTTGTTTAATTAAATTGTCAGGTCACACTAGAGTCAAATTCCCCAGAGAAATTCAAGTATGTGATACTAACGATATCAACAGTTGACTTAACCAGATCTTGAAGTCCCCTCTCAAGAAGGAACTCCAGGTTTGCTGGGTCTCTTTTTCAAGCCTTTAATCTCTACATTCATTGTACTTGTAGCATCTAAGTATTTACAAAGTTATAGCTGCTCAGTTTATTTTATTCCTGCTACTGACATCAGGTTAACAAACTTGCTTTTTTTCTTTTCCTAAAACACGTTTAATCTTCCCAGATGTGTGGACAATATTTGTGGCACTTCCAATCCCACTGAATTTTTTTCCCCATTTTCCGAAACTTTTAAAAATCGGTGACGGGGAGCTCAACCCGTCTGTTGAAAACCCAACGCTCCTGCTGTTGCCTGTAAGAGGACTGACTGCCAGAGAGTCCTCGGGCTTCCACTGCCAACTTGTAATTAATTCCCTCCCATCACCGGTAAGACATAATTAACACCCGGTAACTACACGAAGACTGCAGGCTATGTAATTATTTCTAACCTGCAGCTCGCGCTAACTGTCCGTCCCTTCCCCACACG